AAGGTATGATGACTGTGTGCTTTAAGTTATATACATGTTTAATATACATGATGCCAATTCAAAAATGTATTTCTGATTTTTTTGATGTAAAGCAGCATTGTAATTTCTCATTGTGTATGAATATTTTCTATTAAAATTATTCTGATTATTTTTGTTAATAGTTTATCAAGGCTTCTTCAGGCATAACTCTAATCATAATTAAATTCAAAGCAAGGTCATACACTCTAGGTCTTGCATATGAGAAAAGAAAGTGGGCAAATGTCAATAGTGATTGTACATGTCTATGCTGCAAGAAAGGTGATGAAACTCTAGAACACTTTGTTCTAAAGTCTGAAAGCTACAAAGAACTTAGGGATATTATAATGACAAATATTAGCTATATCCGATATAAAAATGGTGAAGCAAATCTTTACGAAGATATTACGAAGGGTAAAGCTTTATTATGTTTTCTTTTAGGCGATAGCACTCAGCATTACATTTATGAAATATGTGAAGAAATTTGAAGAGAGTTGTGAAAAGATTTCTTATTGATGCCGTGGATTATAGAAAAGATTATGTAGATTACATTTATTTCCTGTATTCACTTTAAAGTTTAAAAGTTTCATTTTTTATACTTCCTTAAAATTTTTAATTTTCTGTTTCTTTTTCATTTATATAGTATGTGCTTTTTCCAATAATTTTATTGCAGCTCCTAATTACTTACTAGTGAGCCTCTGATGTAAAAGGGTAGCAGAAAACAAACAAACAAGTAAATAAGTAAATAAACAAATGAACAAACAAACAAACAAATAAATAATTTCCCAGCTCCTCCAGTGCCTCTATTGTAATTATATATGTCCCTCTTTAGGACACATATAAGTTATCTGGAGGGGTATTTACAATTACATTGGGGCTAAAGTGTGTTTGGGTCAAGGTTAGGGGGCCTTAAGGAACTTGTTCCATATTTATTCCCAACTTTGTTACAAGACCTAAAGAATATGTTGTTACTAAGTGTTCCCTAACGTCTAATATCGGTAGTACATACAATTGAAAATCATTCTATAAGTATTATTAATTGAAATATTTTCATTACATGTACCTTCATTTTCTGAATCTGTAGTGATTTCATTGAGTATTGGTGGATCTGGTTTGTCATTCTTATGAGGAATCTCAGTAGATTGACTTATTGATAACATAGATCTGTGAATATAACCATACATTCAAATTACACTATACATACAGCCACACAGTATCTACTTTCATATTTGGGACTAAAAATTGTATTTCATGTTAATGTTAAAAAAAAAAAAAAAGTTTATTCCCATTGAACTCTGTTTGTACAGCAGTTTTCAACCCCACTACATCCACCACCAACATCACCACCCATATTTCTAATGGACAACTCCTAATTCAGACTACTGCTAAGTGTTCAAAATTACTTGTATAGTATTAGTATAGTCTACATAAATGACCTAAGTGTGTCTATGGTCAAAGTAAGATGTACGTTATTGATCTAGTATACAATAAATGCAATATTTTGTCTATACATGTCTATTTGGAAATGAAGCAAATATAGTATGCAATATAAGAAGCATATATACAAAGATAGAATTGAAGTGCAATATAAACCCAAAATTCAAACTGGCTGTACACTGAATCATTATAATATTACTTATTTTTACCATAGAATAATCTACATGTACATAATTCACATGAGCGCATGCACTACTACGAGAGCAAATATCATATCTGGGTTCTACAAACAATACTGTAGTTTGAAAGAACAAACCTGTCAGGTTTTGTCAGCTGTCCTGGTGCAAATGTCACATTTGGCAGTCCTGTATAACGTTTTGGATCATCACCAAATAGATCCTTTACAACTGACATCACTCTATCAGTATGCGCCAACACATCTTGTAACTGATCACCATCGTATAAAACTTCTCGTAACAATGTAACTCTACTTTTATCACTGTCTTGTGGGCTCTTTCGTAGAACTACATGTATAACAAATAAATGAGAAATATTTGTTATGAATACAAAACATAAACTTCTACATCAGTATAATTTTATTGAAATCATGTGCTTGTAAGGCTGTAAATACATGCCATTTTAATGCTTGAGTTAGATAAAAGCAATAAATTTTATGGCACATTCTTTTGATAACATGATTACAAGCGCCATGGATATTAATAATCAATTTCTACATCTCTGAGGTATAGACTTCTTTGCATGCAGCTTATGTGAACAAAGTGTGAATTTAGTGTTAGTTTAAAAAAAACATTAGGCCATAGGGATTTTCAACATTGTAGGTTACTTTATTTTCACTGGCATTTAATTTCTTCACTATTTTAATGTTTTAATTTACTAGTTTTAAGTTGATGAACCTGCCTGGTAGGGAAAAAATGAGTTTTATTGTTATTTTACATGACAATTTAACAGATTTTACTTATCACCGAAAATAGCTAAAACTAAAAACAATTAATAATTAAATTAAATGCATTCACACTATGTTGGCATTTACTCTCCTTTCATTTAACCATCTTTCATCAAATCATGCCCACACTTGGAAATCAGACTTACCTCTTGCTATCTCTTTTTGTTCTTTCTCCATTTTCACCTTTGTTATATTGCCAGATTGGTGAATTATCCGACGATGTTCCTGTGAAAAAACACCACTAGCATTAAATGTGAATCTTAAGGTCCATGTGGTTTGGTTGAATGATAAATAGTGGTGTTTTCTCTCTAATAGTAGCATTTATTCTTAATAGTGGGGTTTTCTTTCTCATAGTAGGGTTTTCTCTCTAATAGTCGCGTTTATTCCTACATGTACTAGTGGGGTTTTCTCTCTCATAGTGAGGTTTTTCTTCTAAATGCGAGGTTTTCTCTTATCAATACAATATTATACCAGCTGTACCTTTGAGAAGCTTAATGTTTCAGTAAATAAAATGTTGCACACTGTTCATGATTAACTGTTAAACTGAATTGATTTCTGCTGTAAGCCACATCCATCCTTAAAGGGTCTAATTCATAAAGAAATTATTTTACAGCAAGTCTCAGAAGTATTGGGGCAGCCAATTTGCAATTTGCTAACTACTTGGGTTTTGACTAAACAGTTGGCTTTCGAATCTCGCTGGTGCCGATTCGTAGTCGGTCCACTATATTGCATTAGGGAACATAGAATGCTTTTACGAAGCCTGGTATATGTCTGGATTCCCTCTGAATGATTTGCTTTGCGAGGCGTGATAATGTGAAAGTCAGGCTTGTGTACAAGTGATAATATGATAAATGCGATTAATCCACCGATATTTACTATATGCGGGTAGCCAACTTGAACACCGATTGAAACCAAATAAAGAGATAAGTTGAGAAACAGTTGCCTACAAATCATGGAGAAAATAAATGTTCACATCCAAATGATTCGTTGGGGTAACATTAAACCAACCACTAATAAATTTGACTTCATTCATCGTTTTTGCGGAGACAAATCCCTTGTATATGAACACCTCATTACACACAAAAAATAGAACACTTTCCCTGGTATATTTGAAAGCGAAAACGACATCCAACTAAAGTAAAAAGACCGTTCCCTATTGTTATATAGATTCTCCCAGAGTAGGTGTGACCACAGGACGACGCCATCGAGATTCAAAAGCCAACCGTTCAGTCAAAACCAAAGCAGTTTGGCTAGCGTGTTTGCAAATTGGCTGCCCTAATACTTCCGAGACTTGCTGTAATAAACTTACCACTTCATCTTTGCTTAGCTTATAGACACTGAGATCAGACTGGGTATCCTACAAAGTACATGTATATATGAAATATAAACAAAATATTAATTATGCACAAATCAACAAACAGATAATAAAAGATATCTCAATAACATATTAAGTATTGCTGTGTGTCGCTATATTTTGAAGTACGCAACTGATGTATGAACATAGTCATATACTCATACTGTGTGCATATTTGCCCAC